GTTGAGACCGGACGGAGACTTACAGAGTTTTGGACTGTAGTGCTTTTCGTCTATGTCGATTAAGGACCGACCGTTGTTGGGCCTCAGGTCATGTTGAACGCATGCCTTACATTTAGCTGGCCGAATAAAGTACCTTTCGACCGCGAAGCTGGGAGATTATTCAGGCCGAGTAGATTGCCCGCAGCGCACTGTGCCGGATAAGGATGAAAACGGTCGAACTCGGTCGAAAAACTCCTCAACCGTTTTCTACTTTTACATTTGAAATACGAAAGCGAAAGCGAAAGCGGACAAGCCGGACACGAAAACGAACACGAACTTATGGAATATCTAGAATTTTGGAAACGAACCAATTCAAGCGGAATTATGTCGAACACGGTCGGTATGCGAAAATTCAATACGAAATACCGACCCACAGTGCATAGCATTAAACAAGTACACGACCAAATACATAACAAGTTCACAACTAACAAGTGCATGATCTAGTTCAAGTGCATAGCATTAAACAAGTGCACGACCAAATACATAATAAGAGAGATGAGGCTGGGCACCGTCTATAAGAGAGGGCAGCTAGTCATCAGTAGAAAGAACGCAGCTGCATGGTGAGCAGCCTGTAATTGGGCTGTATGACCTATGCAGTTGGCCAAATTCAGTTTAAACCGAATTTTGAATTCGGAATATTTTAAATTAAAAGTAGAAAAGTAGAAAACGGTCGAAAAATGTGTAAACCGTTTTCTACTTTTACATTTGAAATACGAAACATCTCAAATGCGAAAGCAAAAATGGTAAAGTCGGACAAGAAAATGTAGATTCGATCGGATTAAATATAGAAAACGATATGGTTCGGTTCGGGATATTTCCATTCCGTTTTCATCCATAGTGCCGGAGCAGGTGTGGTAGGACACGGGGGCGCGAAGATAAGACCAAAGAGCAGTTGGTCGGCCCCCGAGTACATGTGGTTCCTGGCAAACTCAAGATTCCTGGATAGTTGACTCGGTGACCGATACCTCACTTTAGTGGGTGAGTGAGGTTTGTGTAAGGAATAAATCAACAGCTGGTTAGGAATCGATTCGAATCGCCATCGCTCCTGGATAGTGAGCACTTGACTTGAGTGACTTCATCGTAGTAATGTTGATGGAACACTTGGACAGTTATAATGAATATGACATTATGAAAGTTGTTAATGATCATTGGTTATCATTATTTGTTTAATCACATGTTTGCTATAGTATAGGTGCAAATGTAGTCGATAGGTTAATAATAATTAACTTGACAATAATATTTTTGGAAAGGTTCTTGAAATACTAAAAATACCGCTTTTTGCAAATGAGTCAGCTACCCTACTATAAAGCCCTTCATAATCCTTGGTGTCACTTTATTTTCGGTTATGTCGGGTAAGTCTAGCTGAGTACCTTCTCGTACTCAGGGTTTTATTCCCACTTGTTGCAGATGGGCAGATGTATTAAGGCTACTGTATCAACTGCCTTTATCCTGTGATGGATGATGCTTAGGACCATGGGCATGGTCATTCCTTACGTCTTGTCTGATGCTTTTGTTGGAGATGATCATTAGCTGGCACTGTATTTGAACTCCGTGTGAGTGTGTGGTTTTGAACAAATGGATTCCGCTACTTCTATTTGAACTCGTTTTGTAATAACTATGTTTAAATTCAGATGTATCTGTGATGCGAACTTTTATGTAATATGTGATGGTGACCGCTAAACTTATTACGATCTTGGCTGGTATGTGAGTTGGTTTGAAATCCTTCGTGATTTCACGGACTACCGGGTTATACGGGCTTAAGTTTGCTAAATCGTCTGCTCTGGCGGATGATTTTCTTACTTAATTTCGTATAATTGGTCGGTTCTGTTACATTGATGAAGCGAGTAGTTTTGGTGCATAAATATTCGTTTTAAATTGTTATGCTCTGAGATTCAATTTTTTGAATTTTTCAAAGCCTGATAGAGGCATACTAAAGTTGAGGAGCTCGACGAAATAAAAAAAATCTTGTTGATTATTTAGTAGATTAAATGTTTCATTAAAAATGACATGGCTAAAACTCAATAACATGTGGGGCCTTGTTGGCACTTAAATTGGGCCCATGCCAATTTTAAGAGGCTCATGCAAGTTTTGGCCCAATATAACAAAAAAACTCTATAAAGCGACATAATTATAGTACCATATTGGTTTTCTAACGGTATAAGACTACCCGTACTCCCTGTGAAATAGGAGGTACATGACCGATTGAGGTATCCAACACGTATTGGTCTTCCCGGTCTGCTCTCTCATCGAAAAAAAGTTTTTAACGCTATGTCTTTTGGAACTATTTGATTTTGCTCCTTGAATAGTTTGAGTGTTTGACAGCAACTTTAACAAACATGACATCACATTAGACACGCCATATATCTGTATCGCAGATTTGGCATGGCCTCACATTGGGCAAATCGTTGTCAAAACCATCCAGAGGAAGAAAAACGGATGGTTTCGAAAGATAGAGGACTTTGGCGAAAATTGCGGGAAGCCCAAAAAAAACTTTTCCCTTTGAGTGAAGTCCATTTAACCTTCTTGATTTTTTCGTTGAGTCTGAAAAAAAAGCCCTCAAGCCTCAACTCCAATACTAGAACTCATATGTCCTTCAACTTTTTAAACCAGGCAAAATATCCCCTTTTACCATTTGAAAGTAGTTTTTGATGTTGTTCTTTATGACATGTTAGTGTGGGTCAACGTGTTTCTGTCTTATTTTTCTTTTATATGAAAAAAGATTATAAATTTTCATATAAAATCTAATGAAGGAAAATTTTATGTAAAAATTATAGAGCTTGATCCTTGACATGATTTACAACTTTACATTTGATAACTTTCTATTTGAAATCATTTATATGGCCAAATCCCAAATATTATTAAAAAATATTAGATTTTGAATTCAATTCTTTGAATTTTTGAAACGGCTTTAGATGTTGACATGGTATAAACTAATGTTGTAGCTCCTAATGTGATATACAACCTATCACTGATATTTTTTATATTATTATTTAAATGTGTAAATATTTGTTTAAAGTTATTAGATTTTATTTCAAAGTTTTAACTTTTTTAAACCACCTCTAATGTTGGCATGATGTATATCAAAGTTGTATCTCTCAGCCCGATTTACAATTTCATGGTTGATATTTTTTCTATTTGAGATACTCCCTCTATCCCAAAATAGTGGACGTTGTAGGATTGTGCACGGATACCAATGTTATAGCTAACGACCAAAGTGTCCCTATAAAAAGGAGAGGAGATATAGAGATGTATATCAAAAAGAGAAATGTGCATTGGAAAATGAGAAGGTTAAGGATTTTGGGACAAAATTTGAATGTTGATGAAGCGAGTAGTTTTGGTGCATAAATATTCGTTTTAAATTGTTATGCTCTGAGATTCAATTTTACGAAATAAAAAAATCTTGTTGATTATTTAGTAGATTAAATGTTTCATTAAAAATGACATGGCTAAAACTCAATAACATGTGGGGCCTTGTTGGCACTTAAATTGGGCCCATGCCAATTTTAAGAGGCTCATGCAAGTTTTGGCCCAATATAAGAAAAAACTCTATGAAGCGACATAATTATAGTATCATATTGGTTTTCTAACGGTATAAGACTACACTTACTCCTGTGAAATAGGAGGTACATGACCGATTGAGGTATCCAACACGTTTGGGGTCCCTTCCGGGCGATAGCTTTTATGGTTTTTTTGTTACTTTGCTCTAAACTAGCCGTTCTTCATCACGCAAGCACGATTGGCTACCCTCTGCGCTCTTCGGCCTGTGGCGGCCGGAACGATCTAACCCTAGCTGGTGTGTGATCAAAGATGCGATATTTTTAAGGAAAAGAAACAACATTCTGTCCGGTTATAAACGCTACAGGACGTATATAATTTTAGTATTGGGGTTGAGAGATGTTTTTTTTGGATTTGGATAGGGTGACAAGTTGGGGTTCAAGTTCAAATGCTTAAGGCCTTGTTTAGTTGGCGAATTTTTTTGAAAAATGGTACTATAGCACTTTTTGTTGTTATTTGGCAATTAGTGTCCAATCATAGTCTAATTAGACTTAAAAGATTCGTCTCGTGAATTTCGTCTAAACTGTGTAATTAGTTTTATTTTTTATTTATATTTAATGCTTCATGTATGCGTTCAAAGATTTGATGTGATGAAAAATCTTAAAAAAATTTACAAAATTTTGGAAACTAAAGAGGCACTCAATGGACTTCGCTGGACGGGCCGTTTGGGAAACAACGCTCCACAGACACCAAACATACCTCTCGAAAGTCAAAACACTCACAGTATCACACGGCACTGTAATCTGTACATCCGTCTCCTGCCAGCTGGCAAGTGCTCCGGCAGCAAGAGGCGAACTTTTTTACATGTTGCAAGAAGCGAATACATTACTGACCTTAAGCTGGATTGAAAAATTGGATCATGGCATACCTAGTGCAAAAGAACGTACCCAGTGCAAAGAGCTCCCGCTCTATGCGGAGTCTAGAAAAAAGTGTCAGTAGCAAATCTTATCCTCGCCTGTGCAATGCGAGGAGACCACGACTCAAACCCGGGACCTTCCGATCACAGCGGTAATCTACCGCTTGCACCAGGCCCGCCCTTCATCGTGGCATAACTAGTAAAGGAACAAAATTCAGCTGAGGGCGCAATTCAACCATAACGTGCAAAAAGAAGCCTATAACGGAGTCATAGCAGGTTAATCGAATTTTAATACCGACTATACTAAAAGCGCACCGAGCAGGTGCCGTGCGAATTTGTGATGAGCATTTTTGTACATAGAACTGAAACGGCACAGCCTCCTCTATCCAATGCTTTGCCTTCAAGACTTCCGCAGGAGGAGGAGGAGCTCAGTCCACAGGCTGTAGGCATTGTCCCATTGGGCAGCGAAGTTCCCGTCTATTTGCGGTATTGTCTTTAGTAGTAGTAACGTCTCATATCTATACTGTTGATCCTGAAAACTGATCTTGAATCAGGGCAGGCCTGATTTTCCTTGTTCCTGATCTGTGTCATTGTCTGGTACTGTTGTTTCTTCGGTGAGCTCTGAAACCACCTCGCTAGGTTGTAGCGCAGGGTTGATAGGGCCCTGGGGAATGCCGAAGAGGGTGGAGAATATCTGCCTGTGGCACTCGTCGCAGAAGCAGAAGTATGAGAAGTGGCCTTCAGCAAGAAGCTTGTGGACCGTGGCTCCTGGAACCACCCGCCGCACAAATTCAGCCACTGACGGCGAGACCACTCGGTCGTCCATCCCCTGTTGAGATATGAAAGGTTAGTTCTTCAGGAATCCCTTATTCCCTCGGCTACACGAACGTGCAAAGCATATAGTTTGAGAAGTTGAACCACCAAGCAACATAATGGACACATCCAATTCATTGCGTCCAATTGATAACACACGGTGCTTTTATAACGTCTCCATTTCCCAGTTCTTATGCCATTTGTTGCTATTTGTTAATACATACAAAACCAATCACAATACTACCTACACTTATGCATCAATTTTCCTGAATCGTACAAAACCAATACTATTCAGCTACAATTACTACTGATGCAACCTTTCTGCTGTGCTGATAGAGCTTTTTTTGAAGCCATCTAAATGAGGTAACCTTGACATGCACTGAATCTACAGTATGACCATAAACAGAAACTGATGAACCCAGATGGTAGGCAGCTAGAGAACACCTTCTAAACAACGTCATTGTGTGCAAGCACGTTATGTGTGAAATAGCTGGAGTAAGTTTTCTTTAGTTTCTACTAAATGCTGCCATATTTTTTAATCACTTTCAGTTTCAGAGAACAGAGTACAAACCTGCCATATATGTATTGGGCCCAGAAATCCCACCCACTCTCTTTCAGCCTGATTGAACAGAGACTTGATGAGTTCAAAAAAGCCTCGAGCCTCTTTCTTCTGCATTTGGATGTCAGACAAGCTGAAACCCCAGTCAGATACTTGCAGCACAGCTTCCTCTACAAATGGCCTCGCATCTCCCTGGCGCACAGACTCTGCAACATTCCTTTCCCAGAATGCATTGAACACAGGACCTTCCAGTAAAGTTTTGTCCTGAATAATGACGTAATATTAGTACTTGGCACGAGAAAGGGCAAATGTTCACATTTAATCAAAAGGATGAATACTAAGAATTCTTAAGCTAGCACCAATCAGGCATGGATAAATCAATTACTAACATGTTCATGAAACACAACAATGCTGAAGTTGTTGTTTACCTATGTGGAACAGATGTTGAGTTGCACATGGAAGATAAACATAGACGCTCCAATTTTTCATCTGAATAATTTTTTTTTTTTAAAAAGGTTTTTTTCTAACTAAAATCCAGTGCCACTTCTTCCTTGTGTCATTGTCTGTTGTGCAAGATACCACACATCTTGCATCTGATTTTCCTATGCCTTCAAATAAATAAAAGGTTTCTATATTGTAAAGAACCCTGATGATGAACAGTAAGAGCAGGAATGGTAAAGCAAATAATAATGTCATGCCCATGTTGCCCTGCAGCAGCATCCCAATTTTTCATTGGTACGTTGAGATAGTACATAAAACTGACATCATCATACCTTCTTCCCCAATGACAATGACAACCAACTATCTGGCTGTCCTTGCTTTCCAGAAAGGAAGGTTTGGCGATAAAAGAACGGTAGCAGTGATGGAAACCTCCGAGCTAAAATATGCATCAGTTTCCGTTTTGTTGACCAGGTATCCCATGTTTTACGCCTCTCGTCTTTGGTCATCTTGGAGTCATATGGATTTACCATAGGTGCGAACATTGCTGCACCTGGACTCGGAATAATAAATCACATATCAGCAGACCTAACAGTAATACTTACATATACAATAAGCATGTAAGGTCTGTGTTCTTTGAAGATAAAAGCAATAAATGCTTATGACTGAAATAACCACATTTTAATCTTAAGATGTAATGGTAGTTATGTCTTGAGCAGGTCAAGGTTCTAAACAAGGAAGACATGTGCATATGTGCTGTCAGTTACAAAAATATCGTTACAGATTTAGATGGTGCTGAGTAATCCACTTGAATAGAGCACTCGCATTTCATTATCATCGAAGCAAAAGTGATATACTAACAAACTTACAAAAATGTAAAGCATGGATGGCATTATGTTTAGGTCACAATCATTTCCAGAATTAAGTCTTCTGAAGTTCAAAGGGCATAAGCAAGGTATGACATTGCATATCCACAGGCTGAAAACAATGGCTCCACTGTGCTAGTGTCAAAAACAATTGCAACCAAAGAGGCATCCCCATCAAGAACTTGCCAATATATAAATTTACAAATCCAAAACAATATAGAATAAAACCATATGAGGTAGGTACCAGCAATTCGATCAGGAATGTAACGAAGAGCACTCCAGGCATGCATGCCACCTCCAGAATAGCCCACAACCCAGAACTTTTCCGGAATATTCAGAGCATTAGCCAGATAGAGCATGTCCAGTGCAGAAGAATTGAGATTCCGGCCTAGGTGTGGATCGCTTTCACCAAAACCAGGAAGATCATAGGTCACAAGTCGTACTCCAAATTCTTCCAGAAGAGATGCACTTATTCCAGGGATTCCTGCATGAGAAAGAACAATGTAGATCAAATAGAAATCATGGAAATGCCAACACTATCCAGCAAATGATGTGATGCTCTGATAAACTAACATGCCATACCAACTCGACTAGACTCCCTACCTGCCAGCCTTGATGAAAGAAAAGAATGAGGAGCAATCAGTGAAAATCTTGCTCTGTTAGCTGAGACTCCTTGTTCTTCATAAGCCAGATGCCGTCCATCAGGAAGTTTGATTCTATCAGCACTTGGGGGACCAATGATAAGTTTCTTTGGAAGCTCTACTGGAGTTTCATTGCCACTCCCAACACCTAAAACTGCATGGAGAACATTCTCATTAAGCAATTAAAGTGGTACACTGATCCCTACATGGACAAACTGTAATGTGGGTCAATTGACCGCAGTGCACTGACAAAATGGATGTCTAGTGCATAACTAGTCAATCAGGTATGAGCATTTTTGCACTACTGGATAGATGTTGCATTGTGCCATCATAACCGGAAGGCCATAAATTTATAACATGAGGATAAAAGTTACCTTAAATTCATAATATTATTCGAATTTAAAAAAAATATAAATTAACATGTTCCAGTTCTCAAGTAAGAAGCTTTGGTTCACAATGAACAACTGATCACAAAATGTACATAAGAAATCAGTGACAGAGTAAATCGGACTAAAAATAAACAGACTTGGTTCATACTCATCATATTATGGTGAAAGATAAGAATGAGAAATAGACAGTGGCCTCCATGAAAATCAATTACTTAGACTAGACACACTAGACAAACCATCTGTACAAATGTGAATGAAATAGGATCAAGCAGTTCTCCTTGTCCCATTCCAGGAGAAGGAACTCAAAAAGTAAAACAATTGACTAGTGGTATCCTTAACCATTGCACTGATTCAGCGGATCAAACACAAACCAAGAATACACATAATAAAACATTAGTGTAGTTGCGGGTTTTTCTTGTCAAAGCAACGTTGCCCAAGCAAACTAGGCATGGATCCCAGGGTCTGAAAATGTATGGTTGCAAATGTCACGTTTTTCAACCAATTCGACAGTGAAACGTGCTACAGGATAGATATCTGCTCACAGATGAGAGAGATTATAATCCAAAATTCAAATTAAAACCCTCAACAGAAACTGAGACACGCGTTTATTCCCGATTCTCCACAGTCAGTTAGATCCATCCCCGCAAAAGAACAAATACAAGATAAAACGCACATAGCATGTTGCGGGACGCCAGAAACCACAGTTGCACGCTCAGCAGGAGGCAGAGACGCGTCACGCCAGCGTGCGGTGTAGCGGTGCTGACGCAGAGAAGAGCGGCGGACGCGAGATCAGCGGTTACCTAGGAGCGTGACGAATGCGACTGCGGCGACGATGAGCCAACACCTCACCGGGTCGCGCTCCTCGGGGAGGTACTCGTTCATGAAGCTGAGGCGCTTCCCCGTGGCCGACGCCCGCTTCCGGAGCCGCCGCGCGAGCTCGCTGTCCTCGGCGCCGGCGAGGCTCTGCGCGGCGACGTCCCACAGCCCCCGGCCCAGCTCCCGCAGCATCTCCGCCGTCGACTCCGCGAACCCCTTCGCCTGCTGCGCCCACCCCTCCTCCTCCGCCCTCCCCTCTTCCTCCTCCCCGTACCACCCGGCCCCCACCGCCGCAACATTCGCCGCCGGAGGCGCGTGCCCCCCGGCGCCGGGGAGGCGAACGCCCGTGTCCCCCACGAGAGTGGACAGGTCCTCGTGCCACGTCATCGTCGCCGCCGCCGACATCTTGCCGCCGCGGCGCCGATCGCTTTCGCTCCGCGTGTACGTGCTCCTCCCGTGCTGTGCAAGAGAGAGGTTTGGAAATTGGGAAGCGAGGAGGGGGAGTGGAAGACCGGCACACTTTGGGAGTTGGAAACGGAGGCGAAATGGCGAGCTTGAGATGTTTGGCTGACTTGTGGGTCCCGCTAGGCTGTGTGGGTAGGAGTTTCGGTGGGTGTCCCTGGCTTTGGTGGTTCCTGGGTTGCTTTCTTCCCCACGAGCGTCCACGGATCTAGGCCGTAGGAAATGTGAGAGGCGGCACGGCGGCTCGCAACTGCCACTTAATGGACGGTCAGATTGACAAAGATGCTCGGTGTTGTTTAAATCTCGGGCTAAAGACTAGGGGTTATATCGGTGTCATATTGGGGTGTTAGTAATAATAAAATAAATTACAAAAGCCCTCGATAATTCGCGAGGCGAATTTACTAAGTATAATTAATCCGCCATTAGCATATGTTCACGGTATCTTTACTGTAGCACCACATTGTCAAATCATGGACTGATTAGGCTTAAAAAATTCGTCTCGTAAAGTAATCGCAATATGTGCAATTTTATTTTTTTAATCTATATTTAATACTCCATGCATGTGTCCAAACATCCGATGTGACAGGGACACATGCATGCAGACGAATTTTTTAAACCTAATTAGTCCATGATTTGACAATATGGTGCTACAGTAAATATGTTCTAATGACGGATTAATTAGGCTTAATAAATTCATCTCGCGGATTCCTGAGGAATTATATAATTTATTTCATTATTACTATCCAAACACTCCCACGTGACACCCGATATGACACCTATAAATTTTAGCCCCTGAATTTAAACACCGTCTAAGTACTTGGGCATGCTGGAGAAGTGATCACAAAAATTCAAAAGTAGTGGTCCCATGTTGTTCCCACGTTCACTGCAAGAAAACTTAAGAGACCACTGTTGCGAATGTCAGAATGAAGCTGTTTACAGATATTTGAACGTTGTCCCGCACATTTGTTTAGAGCGCTATCTAAACAAAATTCAGAAATTAAATTGATGCTACAGATACTGGCCTATTTTTCATACACTTAGTCAAAGTAGTCAAGGTTTAAACAGATTGACTTATAACAAAACTAAAAAACCATACACAACTTAAAACGGATGAAGTATTTACTAGCCAATAGAAGGTACATGCAACTATGAATGGCATTAAGTGTTGTGGTTTCTTACTTTTAGGATCCGAAAAAAATTGTCATATTTTTGTGTGTGTGTTGTGTTTGTGCTAACTTGTAATGGTTATACACACTAATAAGCATTTCTTAAAAGGGTCCGTGACACTCTTCTCGTCTAAAGTATTTTCAATCATTTTTGTGCTTAAAGTGCGTATTGTAAACATACAGTGGTTGATTTAGGTGACCTTGTGATTTTAATCAATACTATGACCTAAGGACTCCACTGCCCTAATACTTTTTGGTAACATTGAGAGAGGCTTTTTTAGTGCATGGCCTCACTAAAAGTATTCGTGATGGCTTCTTATTGGTACAATTAATGGTGAGCCCGTTTCTAATCCATTACCTTGTAATGGAATTCCCTTAAACAATCACATTCTGCTATTGGGTAGAGTTTATAACCATAATATTTCCTCCGTCCTATAATACAAGGATCCATGGCAAGACCTATTGATATTCCTTTTAAAGTTAGCATCATCCAAAACAGCCAATTAATAAAATATAACTTCATAGTTTCTATCTATAATATCTAAATGATTTTGCAAGTATAAACATTATTTCATACGGAGTAGTTTCGGTGTTAGGATTGTCCGTTTCAAAGCCCTTGTGCTGCTCTAGCAGAGATGGGGCGGCGGCGCAACCGGACGAGAAAGTGTGGACGCTTGCAACGGCTGGACCGGCTGGCGGCGACCGACCGCGACCGGCGACCGCCCCTGGGCCCTCGTCCATCACCCTGGCCTCCAACCGCCCCGATACGCCACCTGCCACTTCCACCGGGCCACCACGAGTCGACGAGGCGGCAAAACAGCACGGGCCACAGCTGCCGCCGCCGTACGGGGGATCCGAGCCACCCGCGCGTACCGGTTACGCTTCGGGCAGGTGGGGTGGGACCCCGGGCGGCAGGATCGCGTGCTCCGGTTCGCGCAGCGACCTCGAGGGTGGCACGCGGCGCGTCGGCGGGACGCGATCACGCGGCTCTATGGCTGGAGCTCGGGATGGAGTGGACGGACGGTGGGGTCTGTGCGATGCTGATGCATGCGGCGGCTCCCCTTTTCTGGGTCTGGGGTTATCGATATCGAGCACTGGAGCAGGATATTCCGCACTGTAGCAGCAGTAGCGGCTTTGTTGGATATATACGTACATGGCCAATGGGGCGCCTGGCACGTGGTGGGTTACCAACGGTAAAGTGCTTGATTGCTTGCCCGGCGTGGCGAGCTCGTGGAGTGGAGCCAGCGGGATTGGATAGGCTGCGTAAGTGCGTATGAGTGATATACTGGAATCGTTTATTCGTTTTCATGGTGATGCAAACCGCGTAGAGGAGGGAGACAACACCAATGCTCTGCACGTGCAATGTGCCTCGGCTAGAACAGAGAGTCACTGAACACGTCCTAATGTGTGTTTTTATCACTGCATAGGTAATTAGATTTTGAATGTAAATTATCGGTGATAAACGGAATAATCAGCAGTTGCTCATGATTATTTTTGGTACAGAAACCAGTGATTGTATTCACTAGCGGAGTTGGGGGGGCGCTATTATAGGTGGTAAAATAGATAAATTAACAATAGCTTAGTATATTTAAGTACTTCGTTCCAAATCATAGAACATTTTTGTTTTTTCTAGAGTCTAGATCCATTGCTTATACATGTATATTGACATAGTGGGCAAATAGCAAAACATATGTAACTAGAAAATGTTAAAACGTCTTATAATTTTGAATGGAGTATATAATTCTATCAGAAAAATGCAAAGTTAGTGGGGGCTATGGCCTTTTTGGGCTCGATGAAGATCCACCAATGATTATATTCTTCCACGCTGGTGGATCTTGAATAAATTTCACTTACTTTGGACCACAAGGTTATTATCGTCTCACGTCTCTCAATCGCTAACACCCTGTTGTACTAACCTAACTTTGTCAAGACAATTTCCTTTGGCTTTGGCTTGGTAGCTTGCCCTATTGTTGTTAGTCACCTAAACAAATTTTAAAGGTGCATAAATGAAACAAAATAGGCACTTCATCTTAGGATACAACTACATATAGAGTTTAAAACTGTCTTAAAAAAACCACATTTGAGTTCTGGACATAATTGACCAGGTGAATGGATGAAAATGAATAAATGGTAGCACATTCCCTTCGAGATCTATTGGCTCAGTCGGATATGCTCATAGGGTAGACATTGAGACATGCAAGTAGACGTCGTTGCCATACTACCCATACGTAGACCATGTGTGCATGAACGAGTTAATGGATGCCATATAAGACATTTTACTACTTTCCCTATCCTGTCAGCTTAAAGAATAAATGCAGTTATATTTTGTGATATTTTCCACTTTCCTTAACATGTTTGATTAAAGACTAAAATGTAGTTATATTTTATAATATGTTACCACTTTCCTTAATTTTTTTCCTTCCACATAAACCATCTTAGCTTTCATATTTTGTAAGCACAATAAATCATTTTGTTAATCACTCTCTCAGGTCTAGTTTATAAGATCTTCTAATATGGTATGGTCTTCTTAATTACACTTTGATCATTATATTATATTGTTTATGATTATAGACTCATAATTATTGGATATTAAATTTGATTACAAAATTAAGGGACTTGCTAAAATTCAGTCGCATGAATTTTAGTCTCCTTTTAGGTGACGGTTATTGCAGATATTTTATACTAAAATTGCAGATTTTGTTCATTGCAATTTATGTAGGCACAATCTGCAATTTTCGGTACTGAGAATAAAAACCCGTTAGACAAAACCATAAACCCAACAAAATTTGATTTGTGTTGGCACAAAGACAATTAATAATTTATAATTATTTCTATAGGAAGACAAGGACAAAAATTTAATATGTTATGATGCAAAGACAAATGACAAATTACAAAAGTAAAAAATTACTTGAACTAGTCCTGAAATCATCTTAAAATTCAGGCACCTGAAATATAGGGGAAGTGTAAAATTAATAGTATCAAGTTTGTATTACAATAATTAAAAGTATTAGTAACTTATTATGGATCAAAGATCATAAAGTTTGACTCTTGACGTACATGAAATGCCTTATAAACTAGACTGGAGGGGCTAATAAATAAAATCTAGAGCAAACAGCTGCACATGATATACGTATCAATATCAATGAAACAAAGGAATCATGATGAACCATTGCCACGAGCCTCAAGAGAGAATCTGGTCCACCAGGCACCACTTATTCGAGCGAAATTCCAAGAAAGACACGTCGTGGGCGTCAGTTTCCCATAGAGTAACGCCGGTGAGATTACGATGCAAAGCTGGATTCTGGATGGCAATTGTCCATGACACTGAAAGGGGCAAAAAGAAGGAAAAAAAAAACAACAGAACGGGAGGCAAGTTGAGTATCTTTATTCGTGTTGCATATGATCTTTGCTTCTAGAACCAAGATGTGAGCTGCCAGGACAAGCGGAAGGGATCGAGAGCAAGCGCGTCCATCCAAGAATCGTGAGGCGATGCATGATAATAGGCCGTGGCTGGGCCCCATCGTGGGGCCGCTGATGAGTCATCACACGATCATTAGTTCTCTGGCGTCTTTCGCAAGAAAAGGACGGATTAGATAACATGCCCACCCATCCAGCGAGACGTCACCGGTCGAGATAAGGTGGCATGCGAAGGCCGGCGAACCGGCGGCGCGGAACGTGGCCGTGCGTTGTGTGGTTGACAAAAGGAGAAGCCGCTGCTGCTGCGAAAGCAGGACGGCGTGGTGCTGCCGTGGGGGAACATGGTGGAATGTGTTGGGTTGGGTAGGGTAGCTAAAGCCCCCAACGGTTTGATTTGATTCTTCCTCCGTGATCTTCTGAATTAGTACTCCCAGTAGAGAGGTGGCCTGTGGATTTTTGTCGGTGGTCACTTGTTGCGCCCGCCGCATGGCAGGGGTCACTCAGGCGGGGAAGGCCAGGGCCCGTGCCAATGCCATTGCTGTCGCCGGATGGTCCTCTCTTGCAATGACAACCGAAGTTATGCAAATTGAAGGTCCACCTGCACCGAGAATCACACATTCACATGGAGATGGATGGGAGTACGCCGGCCGATCAGGGGAAGTAAACAAACTCCAGTTCAACGTGGATGACGGAGCACTGGAGCATTGGACCCGTAAAAGATGGTACTAGTCGATAGAGGTGGTAGCAGCGTAGCAGGATGAGTACCCGTAGGCACTATGCAATGAGCGGTGTCTGCCAGATTGGCGGTCAACAACAACTACGGTCGGTGCAGTGCAGCATTCCTTTCCTTGTTTCTTCCTTTTGCAGTTTTGGTTCCGCCCTCCGAAGAAAAAGTAGGTGCACGGCACGGTGCACCCCGGACGAACCAGCCGATCGCCCGGCGAGCTGATTGATTCGCTGTGGCTGACGGGAAGGGAATATGCCCCTCCCTCCTCTGCCGCTCTGCTCGCTCGGTCGCTGCAGCCTGCGAACTTCTCGCGCTAGCCTGCCGTGCTCTGCTGCATCATCACCAGGGCGGGGGTCTCGTGAATGAACAGCAGCAGGTTTCAATTTATGGACGGGAAAAAAGGACTCAGAGTCTGATAGGAGATCGAGTGGAGACAGCAGTACAGACAGACGCCAACACAGGAGAGAGCACTCAGAGCAGAGGCCGCAGAATTGCAGAAACCATCAAAAGCTGTCTGACGAGTGCTATGCCATAATGCGAACTGGGCTGCACTCACGAAGACACTGCGGAGGCCCAGAAGTTGATACGATAAAGGCGTCGTATCTATCGGCCCATAACGGCCCAGCAAATACCAAGTCATCGACTTCACTGTTCGCACACCGCACCCCACCCCACCTCTTCTTTGAGTTCTTTCCCCTCTCTCTCCCCTCGCCGTCGCTGTCGTCGCCGTCCGTGCGAGCCATGGATCTAGGCGCTCCCCGACGAGGGCGCCTACCGATACACCTCCTGTTGGCGTCGCTCACGGTCCTCGTGGTCCTCACCGTGCACTCCAGCGCCGAAATCATCACCCTCACCGAAGAGACCTTCCCCGACAAGGTAACCCCAGCCGTGCCCTTCTCCGCGACTCCGCCTTACCTAGTCGGGGATACTTGGCGCGGCTGTACCTTTTCTGTGTTGCGCTAATGGACCCAAGGATTAGCGACGCTACATACTAGACAGATCGGCGTGCTTAGTCATGGAGCGAGCTTTGGCCTTTGGCAGTAGTATGTCAAATCCTTCAATGGTTTCACTTCGATGACTCCATAGTTGCTAAGTTGCCACTCGCCATTATTAAACGAATACCTTTACTGTCCTCTTGCCTGATATAGACAGTGCAAGAGTTCAAATCTGTTATTTCGTTGCTACTTTCTAATGAGGAATTACTAGTCAAACAAAAGCCAGAGAGTGCTACTGTGACCTGCTTTATTGTTCCAGTATGCATGCTATTCAAATTTCTTTGGTGTCTGTTTGTTTGTTTTGGTCAAGCAAGTTTGATTCTGAGACGTTTCTCTCTTGTTTAGATAAAAGAGAAGGACACAGTTTGGTTTGTGAAATTCTGCGTCCCCTGGTGTAAATACTGGTAACACATGCTTCTCATAGGGGTTAGATGAATGTTGGCTTATCATGTATAGAGTTTTTATTGCCACAAAGCTGATTTGTTAAGGGTATGACATTTGCAGCAAGAACCTTGGAACACTATGGGAGGACGTGGGAAAGGTTATGGAAGGTGAGGATGAAATTGAGGTAGGGCAAGTTGATTGTGGTGTCAGCAAACCAGTATGCTCAAAGGTGGATATCCATTCATACCCAACATTCAAGGTGTTTTATGAAGGTGAAGAAGTAGCAAAATATAAAGGTAAAGTTTGTTTCACCAGTTCACCATACTTTTGGGCAGAAGTTCCAACTTAAAGCCATATTTGAGTTTTGGCCCACCCCCCTTATGAGCATCTATGGATTATACTCGGAGTGGGAGTGGAATCTGTGTAAAATCTTTGTAATTAAATTCGAATTCGAGTTTTGTATTTTAAATAATCTGTGTACCTGACAAGTGCTCACTTCCATGCACAATTTACTTCTAGATCAGTAGGTCACCTCTTCTATGAAGATTTTGCTAAATTCACTAATCATGCTGCAGATACTGTTAGGTTTAATATCAGAGGCAATATGTGTAACTGAATGATGAGAAGAACATATCATATTTCATAAATCAGTAGATCATGCTGGTTACTATCAAAATGAATATCATTTTTGTTGCTGAACTCTTTGTAGCCATTGAATGCTATGGTACTGTATTGTTGGAGTTGTTGCTTACAATCTGCCTATGTAGCTACGCCATACCTTCAAATGAATCCATATCCTTCGGAGCTTGGACCATGCCCCCAAAGCTGATTATATGCAATAGTAATTTTGCATTGCTATTTATCACCCAGTACTCAAATTCACTGCTTACATTTATGCATCTGCTAGCTTACACTTAACATTAAGTACAAGCCATGAATTTTTAGGCATTTTTGTTTGAGAACTGTGCTTTGTAACTGCCAATTGCCTATATTACATATTCTTTGTTTCGCCCTGCTTTTGTTTCTACTTGTCCTTTATATCTCTATGCCTGTTACGGTGCTTTTGCATGTGAACATATTCCTTTTCCTTTGGTTTTCTGCTTCATTTGACAGTATCCTGTACTGACGTCAACATGAATCTGGATTCAACCATGCAACTGCAGGACCTAGGGATGTGGAGTCACTGAAGAACTTCGTGTTGAATGAAGCTGAGAAAGTAGGTGAGGCAAAGCTCCAAGCTGATTGAGGCAGGGGAGTTTCAGCAAGCATGTGGTGTAGACAAGGAACAATGCTTTGCAACATTGTCCTGTATCCTGGCATTTACAAAGCCAATTTACAGGAAAGAAACGACCTTGTATCTTCGAAATTACAAGTCCGAATCAGTTCATGAAAGCTGTACTCCATACCATAGGTTTCATCACATTGACAAACTTAAGTACTGATTAGAATGCAACGATACAAAGGTCGTTTATGTCACTTGCTCATCTCCCAACGGTTAAACTGGTGGTTGAATGTAAATTTATGCAGCATGTTGGAACTGACCCCCTTCAGATACTTGATCAATGGAATTAAGGGTCCGTTTGGTAGAGTTTTTCGGCTCCAGAGTTGAAGCTGCTACATTTTTTTGCAACAAGAAGGATCTTGAGGGAGACGCAGGGGCTTGTCCGAAGGCATCTTGGGCTCATTGATCAAGTCAACAGCGTTTGCCCAGCAGCCAGCAGGCCAGGCCGGCTGCGACCTCCGAGGACAGGGATACAGATACTGCATGTTTCTCAAAAAAAAAAAGATACTGGATTACGCATGTGTATATTTTCCTCTCCATCACAGCAACACGACATAGGGCACAAATTCCACAATGTGAAGATACATGGATGTCGGATCGATGCACACAGCTCAGCAATTCGAGCTGGACAACCACGATAATCAGGTGGAGACGCTAAATTAAAATGTGAAGAATGAGTTCTATGCGTGTGCGATTCAGAGCTTGTGCTTGCGGAGATCGCTTGCACAAAAACTGTTGGGATTTTTTGCGTATATAATCAGAGCTACAGTTTAGTCAGCCAAGAGATCTTCAGAGCTACAGTTTGGACTTGGACATGCAGTTCTTCAGATGTTCATACCGCTGGTCAGCCAGAAGTTCAGAACCAATGGAAAGGGCACTGCTCCACAGAAAAGAGAAACGAGAGAAACATTTGCCAGGTGGTGCAGGGTTTTTGCTCTGTTTTTGTTTTCCCTTACCCTCAGGCTCTAAGAGCATCTCCAAGAGTTTGCTATCTCAACTTAACATCCATATAATTTTGGCAAAACAAGAAAAAATAGCCTCCAACAGTTTGGCAAAACAACTTGGCATCAATAGCAACTTGGACAAATCTTCCCTCCGCGCACGCAAATATACGCGCGCGTATACGGCTTGGCATCCGGGGCTCTTCGTTTCTTAGCGGGGCTCTTCGTTCGCTTAGCGGGCCTCTTCGTTTTGTTAACGGGTTTTTTATTTTACCAAATCAAAAATACCAAACTCTTGGAGATGGATTATTTTTTTACTTGGCATATAATTTTAGGAGTTGACAAATCACAAGATTTGCCAAGTAAAATTTGACAAACTCTCAGAGATGCTCTAATAAACGAGTTTCATGAATTATCTGCTAGACACGACAAAGCACATCTGAGCATGTCTGTTACCCGTTGAAAGCCAGGGCAACAGGCTCTTACAATCTGCAACAGTGTCGGCGACAAGATGGCTAGGAAAAAAGTACCAAGACACCTGCAGATTATAGTACAACACAACATGACTACGTTCCATAATGGCCGCTTCCTTTTTTCAAAAGCATGTGTCCAATCCACATCAGCTCCTAATTGCTAGCCTCACCATTATAGTTAATTTCTCGCACGATGGCGATGGGCCAACAACAGCCATGCCATGGTACTGAAGAGCCCCCTATCTTGCTCCTAATGAACGGGTACAGGGACCACCAAGAACAACGCCATAGTTTTGTGTGCTTCCGAAGCATGCTAGTTGGTGCAGGCGTCTATCCTTTCTGCGAATTTGACACCTTGCATTGGAGTAACTTCTGAACAAAAGAGAACATAATGTGTATCATCATTGTTAAGTTGATTTTTAGCTTGCCTTCTATCCATTGCATCCTTGAGAGACACTTCAAGGGGGTATTATGTATGTATTCACCTAAACCCTCTTGAGTAAAAAAGAAAAAAAGAAATTACACATATATCACAATTTTTTTTAGAGAAAAGAATAGTGGAAAATTGTACATTATGATGGAAGAAGCGGGGGGTCAGAGGTTGATCCATCCTCTGGTGAGAAAAACCAAAATTTTCCTTCTTTGCAGCTAGCTAGCAGGACAATCAACATCTTAACGGTGTAGCCACATGCATGTACAATGTACACCACTCCGGCCGTCCTCATCCAGCTCGTCCGTTCTCTTCTTCTATGGTTCGCCTTTCTTTCTATCTTCTCTTGTTGTGCATAGATGGTTGCGAAGACGAGGAAGAAGGCGCAGCCGTGTTATCGACGTGCCATACCATGACCTCTGAACACTCGGAGGGAATGCCCTTCACCTTGCTTAGATCTTCCAGAACCACTTGCTGGACGAACTTCATGGAGTCCTGAAAGACAGTAGAAGCCAAAAAACATGTCAGGGCAAGTAATCTTGGACTTCTCAAGCAAGGAGTCATGATTTCTTTTGGCATCAAACAGGAGCAATGAACACAGCCTTGGATGATTGACCATCACAACAAACGGTCTGCTTTAGTTGTTAGATCAAGAAAGACCAGCAGCCAATTGTAACCCTATAAAATGCTCACCTATTTTTTTTTTTAAAAAAGGGGGGCAATAAACCTAAAAGAAATGTTTTTTTTAAAGGGCCAGTGTCCTACTGCTACAACTAGCCAAGCCACAGCCACCAACTGGGTTGCCTTGCAAAGAACTTCATCATGGCTGCACAGATCCTACTTAGCGATGGACCCCTCCTCCCCTCCTCCTACCGCACCAAATCAGTCCAACGCACCGGAATATAATAACAAAGAAATATAAGCACGATTTGGCATTTGCAAATGCCGTCTCCAGATCCTCTGGGATTCGATCTGTTTTGTCGATTGCTGCACCTGCACTGTACCGGCTACCGACACCCACGGCATTTGCTAGAAGAAACCAGCAACTAATCTTCTTGATCATCAAATGGGAACACTCATCTTTACGTCTGTGTTAGTGACCGGTGACCGGTGACACGGACGGATATGTTTGACACGGGAAAGTTAGGACAGATGGGCCACGAGACATGGCTTTTTTTCCCCTCTCGTCCCTCCCTCCCCCTACCACAGCTACCTGTGCCACATGCACGAGCAGATCGGCCATGAATCATGATGATCGGCGCGCTAGTTGACGGCCGAAACGCCGCTTTCATGGCGGAAATGCCTCTTTCAATGTGACCCCCAAAAACCCCGGGCGTCTGCAACGCAACGGCGTGCAGACCACCACGGCGCCGTGCGAAAGGCGAGGCGAGCGCTTGCTAATTACACTCCGGGTTTCTTTGATACACGGCAACGCCGCTCGCTGTACACCACATTACATCACACATCACATGCATGTCGTATCGTAAGTAGATGCGTGAAGGGGTGATTGCGGCGACTGACCTGGGACTTGTCGGGCTCGGAGGTCGGGTAGCGGCCCCAGCGCTCGGGGTCCCAGAGCACGGAGCTGTTGAAGGCGAAGCCGTGGACGTCCACCTCGGGAGGCCTCGCCGTGGAGGTGGAGGCCGGCGCGGTGCCGTTGCTGAAGTCCTGGGAGAACCAGCCGGTGACCGCGGACGAGCTGCACGCGGGGCCCCGGACCACGACCTTCCTCTCGTCGCGCCACATCGTCGCCACCGGCCACGCACCGAACGCGCTGCAAAAGTATTATAATCGGGGGAGCGTCGTCAGATTCTCCGGTCAGGCGATCAGCATTGTGACAAGACACGTCGTGTCGTGATTAGTTGTGTCCGAAGTGCTCATGTGTAGTGTACTGTGTACAGACGTAACAACAGCGCAGTGTCCATGTCACGTTGCCGTTTTCGTTTCGAAGATGCAGTCAAATGCCAAAGTAAAGCTGAGCTGCTAATCACTGAGCATTAATGCCGCCCCCAAAAATATCACTGAGGCACTTACTAATAGGGCAGGTCGAAGGTGCAGCTAGCCTTCCGTACTATATCTAACTAGAACAGTGGTTAAGTCATGTGATGATGGCGGTGCTGATATGAGACAGCAGGTAGGCGAAATGGCAGTACAGATTGGATGGACACACATTTGTTGAATCGCGAAAAGTGGTTAGCATGATAGCTAACCACCAACAAAGGCAGGTTTTGAAGCAAAGCAAACTTGAAAGAAGAGCGGATTTTACGTTGTTGTCGAAAAGGAAAGAAGAGTGAACAAATACTGAACAGACACAACCTGCAGATAGAGCCATTTTCTGCAAATTGCCGCATCAGCGGGCCGCGGCACATCGACTTCAGAAGAAACGTGACTGGAAACCGGGTACTGAGTATTTTTTTTTGAGATTTTTGTGAGGCGGCGAGGGGGCTCATGCAGCGTCCGTGCATCCAACGGCATGCAATGCAATGCAACCGCGCTTTGGCGTCCGCGGTCACCACCACCATTTCTTTCCGGGCGCCCTATCAGATCCGCAGCAGGCGGCTCCGTTAGTTGAGGGGTGGCGATCATCATCTCACCGATGCACAGCATCAATGACCAAACCGGTAGCATAGCGGACACCACCCGTCGTGATGTCGCCCAAGCACGGCTGTACCGCGACACTTGCAGTAAATAAAACAAACAAATAAAAAAAAGGACGCAAGGGAACAAAGGCAAAGCCAACTAGCCAAGGACCGCAGAGTGCAGCAGCAGCTGCCATGCCGGGGCTCTCGTCTGTCTGTCTCTCTGTCTGTACGCCGAGATCTGAACTGGGAAGTAGTCGTACAGTGCAGCACAGGCGCCGGAAAAAGGAGTTGAGGTGGTCAGCTAAAAGGGAAAGGACCCTTGAATGGCGGACGCCGGGATGGGTAGGGCGACCTCCTCACATCACATGCCCCGGATTCTCACCGCCGATTAAACTAGCCCCCCGCCGCAGTGGTCACCAGGCGGTGTTGCTGTGCGTGAGCTGTTGCTCTCGGGACATCCTGACAAAGTCGCTAGCCGAGCGATGACTAGTGTGCTTTGGGCGCTAGCGCCATGGCGTCGGCGTGCGCCTAGCTTAGCTTGCTCGCATCAAGAAAGATCGGCGCTTTTAATTGTCTTCCTTTGTTTGTTTAACTACTAACCGTGTAATGAAAAAGGCGAGTAGTTTTGCTTTGGCAATACGCGACGCGAAGCAAGGATGATTATTGGCTGGTGGCACGGTACCTGATTTCCCTGAGCTGGTCGAAGAAGCCGAGGTCGAACACGTCGCCGAGCCCCGCGAAGAGGACGACGCCGGCGAGGCGGTGATGCTCGATGTGTCCGAGCGCCACGTTCCGCTGGTGGTGCCGCTCCTTACCCGCGGCGGCGTCGGCGGCGGTGAAGTTGTCCCTGTACGTCAGGTGGCGGTACATGAGCCCCGTGGCGCGCAGCAGCCGCGCCGTGCCCGGCACGTCCGGGGCGGCCTCCACCACCACCCACAGCAGCGGCGGCGCCACCAGGTGCAGCGTGTGCGCCATCCGCGTCAGCGCGGCGGCCCGCTCGCCGGACGCCGCGGGCGTCGACTCCGTCGTCGTGACGAGCACCAGCAGCGGCCGCGGGGACGCCGGGTCGCCCAGCAGGAGGTCCGCGCCGCCGTGCGCCAGCAGGCTCCGGTTCACGGCCGCCGTCGGCAGCGCACGGACCACGTGGCTGCTGCCCACCCGGCCCGCCGCCACCGCCGCGGACGTCCAGTCGGACACGGACGACGGCGCGAAGCCGGTGAAGAAGCCCATCACGAAGCAGAGCGAGGAATGCAGCAGCGCCTTCTTCCACAGCTGCGACCCGGCCTGCTTCTTGCCCCGCCCACCGGCGCCGACGTGATCCGTGGACGACCCCATGACAGAGACCAACCAGCACAACGCCAACGCCTGCCTAGCTAGCTCGTCCAACTCCCGGAGGCTGCTGGCGTCGTGTCCCTTAATCCGCGTCGCGTCGTGTCGAAGCCGGCGATGTAAGCGTGGCCTAACTAGCTAGCTTAGCTAGACGACCGCGGGAAGCGGTGGTGGGAGGCAAGCAAATTTGGTAGTGGTGGTGGTTTAAAAAGGGCGGGAGAGGTGGCGAGCAGAGGAGGAGGTAGGAGAAGAGAAGCGGCGCGAGGAGATGAGAGGAGAGGACAGGATGGTTGCAGGCTATAAGCGGAGCGGGCGGGCGAGGGGAGACGGTGTCGTGTTGGTGTCACGCCTTTTTTTCCCCTTTATCCCGGACGCAGCAGTAATCATTAGGTGGCGTGCGAGTTAGTGACGCACTAATGCTAACACTTCCCCAACCAAGCGTACGTCTAATTGTGTTCGCGTGGCAGCATGATGTGTTTTCTTCGTAGCCGTGGCTCGACGCGTGCGTGGTGTCTCGGCCTCGCTACCCGTAGTGGGGGTGCTATACGTGTCCCATTCCGGACTCTTGCTCCCATGCCTGCGAAAAACGTTAGCACACTGCCCGTGTACTTTGCTAGTACTAGTATTGTATTTTTGTGTACGTCTGTAATGCATTAAGATATCACTTTTAGAGTTGCCTGCGTTACAATGGCACTGCCACTGTCACCCTAGCTCCTTGGACTATCCATTTCTAACTCGGCCAAGCAAGCTTCGTTCGGTTCGTTGTAGCGTATCACCGCTTAGGGTCTGTCTGAAACACGTGAAAATTTTCTGTCCTATGTTTTTCTTTGAAATTGAACTGATTTCTATGAAATTACTCGATATCTCTCTTCATCCCTAAAACCAAATATGACAGTATGGACAACCTTACAATCTCAGTCGGCGTCGAGCATGAAGTACTGGCCCAGTCACAGCGGGAAAATTGTGGCAGCCTCGTGTGCTAGCAAATGAGAAAAAAAAAATCACGAACATGCTTTAGCATGTAGGAGTATTTCGTTAAGAGGGGTTAGCAAAAGGCAAAATGATACGTTGACGCAGGAACAAATAGATACGTAAACAAATGAGCAGGTCGCAGCAACAGAATTAATTAAAACAAAGAAAACATCACTGGCTATGCATTCCGATCATAAACAAATAAACGAGATCCGTGAAGTATTTAGAGCTTCAATTTATAATTAGTTTTTTTTTCTTAAACACAACTCACATTGCATCGATAATACAAAATTGCTGTATAGAAATTAGGGACATTCTGAGTTGTGCTTAAGGAATCCAGACAGGTTTTAATTGTTGACAACTTGACATATAGATAACATGTGACTCGTGCTTAAGGAAATAAACTTTTAGGAGTCAATAAAAGTTTTTTTTCTTTAAGCATGACTCACATGGCATTGATAATGTCAACAATTAAAACCTGTTTGATAAAAACTGATTATTCAGTTTGATTTAAATTGTTCCACGTTTTTTTATCTCTATCGACATCGCAGTTCTTGCAACATTCTTCATATTGAGACTTATACATTACTTCCCATATATCATGTGGTGCCATGCGCCATTCTAGTATCCGATCATCTTTTACCACCTCCGTTGCATGAACAACTCTAACCGAGCTACCCCGCTCCGACCATCTTCCTCTGCCTGCGCTTGCACTTGCGCCAATGCTTTGCCCCCACACCCACCTCCTCTAGCGGCCTAGTCGTCTTCTCAAACCCTTTTCTAAGGTCGCAAAGCACAATCCAATCTAATAACTACGTACTCACATTGAACCTAAAGCTACTTGCTGGAAGCGCTGAGAGCTTACCAAAATCCTAACAAAGTCATGTCCACACAATATCGCCTGACCAATTACAGGCTTCCTAAGTATGAAGATGTGCAAAAAGTTATGTATGTAAAATGCGTTTTTATTCAAAATGGACTATTGAATAGCCAAAGGTCATTTTTTTTCCAGAATTGCTATCTAGCAACCGGATGTTTTGGCCTCCTCCAGCATCCGTTTTTTTTGGCCGTTAGATCTTGCATGTTTATGTTCTGGACCGTCCGATCTGGTTGTTTGCTTTTGGCGTTTGATATCCCCGTCGCTGTGGATTTTGTGAGGATGACATGTGGGGTCAAGTTGTCGGCGTTGCACTGTTTGATTTTTTGGGAGTCACGCCGATTTACTCGTTGCCGTTTCCCCCTTTCCCCCATTTCCTTCTCATTTCGCTTCGTCTTCTTCCTAGCGACTCGGCGCTCTCCGCCGTTGGCGATTGCTAGGGTTTGGCGAGGTACGCTCCTTGTGCTACATTACATCAAGTTCTTCTCCGCCGAGTCGGCGTTCTCCGTTGTTCGCCGTTCCTCCGCGCGCCTCGGCACTCTCCGCCGTTGGCGGTTTTTTTTGTTTCTAGTCGTTTATTCTTCTCTCCATTCTAATTTGTTCTCCTCTTTGTGTATGCAAATCTGTGTCCTCCGGCGGTGGCGACTAGTGCGGCGTCTGGCGTTTGTTAGGGTTTGGTAAGTTTTGTTTCGTTTCTGCTCTATTGGATGATGTTTGTTAGGGTTCATTTTCCTTATCTGATTTTGTTGTGATGTTTTCATTTCTTCTCGTATTCCTACACCGGTGGCCGCGTTTGTTGTGATGATGCTTCGATTCCTAGGGGTTTGCCAAGGTATGTTCATTCTGCTTCAGTAGATTATGTTTGTTAGGGTTTGTTCCCGTCATTTTGTGTTTTGGCCGTTCTCATTTCTTCTCATATTCCTCCACTCGATTTGGTGTTTTCCGGTGGTGGCGGCTGGCCCTGCTACTGGCGACTCATTGGGACTGTTAAGGTATGTTTTCTTCTCGAGTTTGTCATGTTTTTGATCTAGCTCTTGTGCCTAGTGTGTGGCACTACTTTTTTTTCTTAATGATGTATGTATGTGTGTTGATGGGTAGATTATTGATGTTATTTTAGTAGATTCTATTTCTAGTTTAGTTATGTTCAAGTTCAATAGAATAGTATTTCTCTTCATGTTGAGTAGAATAGTTTTTTTCAAGTTCAATAGAGGTTGATTGATAGCAATTTTGTTTTGGAAAGTTCATGTTTAGGTTAATTTGAGTAAAACTGATTTTATTTGTTTTCTCTTTGTTCACTGTTGTTTTGGTTGACCATGGATGCCTCCTCTATGTTGTATTTTTCTGCTTATTTGGGTATGCCCAACGAGATTTGAGCATGTAGATTTGTGAAAATGATGTTAATAGGTTATGGTTATGAAATGAATTCCCTGCTATTTTTGTTACAACATGGCCATTTTGTGGAAAATTGAAACATTGTGAAGTTTAGGGCACTGGAAGTTGTGACATGTGTTAGCTTTAGAAAAATTACATTAGCCTGTTTCTGTGAGTTGTCATCTTGACTGATTGTTGTCGCCTTTTAGAAGATGCATTATCAAAGGCTATTTAGTTGATGGTGTGTTGTGTTTCATGCAGTGATTTCAAGATGAAAGATCAATCTCATTTTAAGACTAGATTACTTGTTTTGTAGCTTATATTTTACTTTCCTAGACTGTAGTTTTATGCTTATTTATGGTTTGGGAATAGCTGTTTTCTTTTATTTTTTGGGAATGGTCTTAGCAATGTTGCAGTGTCTTACTACATCTGTTTTGGAGTAGATTTGGGTGATGTTACCCTTGTATAGTAGTTTGTCGTATAGTTGGTACTTAGACTTGTATGTATACTAGGCAAGGCAATAGAGCAAATGAGTTTACGGTGCCACCCTTTCATAGTTTCAACCATGTGTAGGGTTAACTTATATGCTAATATTACTATTTTTACATCCTAGGACTCAATGTAATTTTTTTCCAAATCATAGTGTAATTTTAGTATTTTTTTGTTGGTGTAAGTTTTTGTGTTTGAGTTTTATGAATTGTGCTTAGGTGATCAACCTTATGCAATGAAAGATAGCTAACTTGTGTTCTTTTGCATATTCTCTACTGCTTATTCTTTAATTTTTCTTTTTTTCATCTTTTGTTTTATGTGCTATCTGAACTGTACTCATTTCCCCTGTTCTGTCTTGAGCATAGCAGTTCTGATTTTTTCCTATATTCTTAGTTCACTTTAGATTTTTAGGATTTAAATGATTGAAGTTTTAGTAGGTTGTTTTTGTTGTCAGAGTTTGGTTTAGTTTGTAGAAAAGTTGACTGTAGTTTCTTTATAATAGTTAACTGTTAGAGTTTCAATTTCTCAATATTGTTGTATTTGTTTTTTTTTGGGTAGTGCAGCAACATGTGTTAAGTTTTGTTAATTGTCATATTTTGATCTAGCAAATGGGTTGGTTATAGAGCTATCAGATCCTAATCCCTGAATTTATCTTCTTGTTTAGTTTGTAAAATGCATCAACTATTCAATCAACATGCCTATCTACATGATTTAGCAGATGATGAATAGTGCATGCTATTAAATGAGTCGGATTTACGAATACTGGACCAACTATTTACTAGGATGAAGCCCTTTCCTTAACCAAATTTAGAGCTATGAACAAGCGTTTAAATGACTTAGGTTTGCAAGTAGTATGTTTTTTTATATCTTTGCTCTATTGTTGTCTACATTTTCTGCTAGAAGCTGTAGCGGTTGCGGCTGCGACTGCAGCATCTCTAGCTGGTACTATAGCTGAAGCTGCTAGAAGTTGCTCTTTGTGTTGTGCTTACTCTAAGCATGCCTTTACCTCCATGTGGTTGAACCTGGTGACCTTTTAAATGCATGACTCTGCATAACCATAAGTCCATGTCTTATACGGTTTTTGCTCTTGTGTAGTATAATTTGTTTATCCCAACCGTATTTTAGAATGCAAGTTTTCATCATTATTTCTTATGGTATGGCATGTGCATGAATATGTACTTAGACTTTCATATTGCTGCAAGTTCTGTGTAAATATTTATGACCTGTACTTTCTAGATGGATACACCATGATTGCTATTATGTATTATCTCTCTGTGTAAATACTTCTGACTTGTGCAAGAATATTATATTTGTTTAGTAACTAGTGTGTTTCAGTATAATTACTTGGTGCATCAGTTTTAGTTCTATTAGTTTTTTAATTAGTTTTTTATTTATTTAATTTTTTGTTAGATGGTTCGGAAAAGGCCTGGTGGTGTTGTTGATATATCTAGTTCTGATGATTCTGAAAATGATGATTTGGATGATGTCCAATGTTCTCAACTTCCTTATATGGATTATGATTTATATCAATCTGCTTCGGATACTCTGGATGTATCAGATGTGAGTGTTCTGATTATAATTCAATTTCATTTTTTTTGTTTTTATGTATATGTAAATGTTTTTTAGTTAATTTTTGTTGGTGATTGCAGGGTGATTCTTCTAGTGACAATTCAAGTTTTGACCGACATTTGTATGAGAAGTGCTTGAAAGATGTATGGATTTGTTCTTTTTCCCCTTTTTTCTCTCTGTAGGTTTCTTTTTTACTTCTTTCATTTACTAAAATAGTTTGTTGTTTGTTTAGTATGAGAAGATTAGGAATATGAAGAGAAGGCTGAAAATTGCATTGAGCCATAAGGTTAGTAATCCTTCTTGGTATTTTCATTAATGTTTTGTAGCTTTGCGGATTGCATGTTTTCTATTTTTTTGAATATAATTCTAGTCTAAGAAGATGAAATCTATAAAGAAATCTAAGAAGGGATTCACAAGATTTTCTGCTATAGCTTTTATGAATGTGATTTCCTCTTTGTCCCCTGAGAAGAAGGCTGCCATTGCTAGCTATGGGTGTGGTTCTCTGTTGTTGATTGATAAATGCTTTGTGCCGAATAGTTTTGCTAAGCGGGTTGCGCATTTAGTTGATCCCAAATCTGTTTGATATTGTTCATGATGGAAAGGTAATCTCATCGACTGAGGAGTTAGTTCATGTTGTTCTAGATCTTCCTGTTGGTACAAGACCCTTCCCTTCTGATCCAAGTGCTGGCAAGGATTTTGTATTATCAAAGTTTGGAAAGTCTAAGATCCCGCCAGTTTCTTTTTTTGCTGATAAGTTGATCAAGAGGGAAGATTTGTCAGATGAGGACATGCTTATTTGTTTCATGATTGTTGCTTTGAGCAGTTTCTTGTGCCCCAATACGAATACTGTTTCGAGCCCAAAGTACTTTGGCATATTTGAAGATGTTGAGCACATTAAAGATTTGAAGTGGTGTGCTTATGTGCTACATTGGTTACTTGATCATCTCAAGGCATTCAATGGAGGTAAAGATGATAAAGGGAAATGTTGTTTAGGTCTTGGTGGTTATCTGTATCATCTTGCGGTAAGTTTCTTTTTTAATTATAGATATGATTCTTGTAATATTTTGTTATGAGTATTTATTTTGTCTATTTCTACTATAGGAATGATGTAGTATTTGGGTTTATGAGTTGCTTTGGCATTTATTTCTATGTTGTTTGTGAGTTTTGTTTTGTGCTTTGTTTTCTTCAAGATATTGTTTTATTATCTCTTCAGTTTTAAGTCTAGTCTGTATTACATTTTTATATGGTTGATCTAGGAACTGGTGTTTCCTGTGAGCCATTTGTATTGAAACTACTGTTGTGGTCTTAGCAAGTGAATGGTGAAGCATTTTAGCAAGTGAATGGTGAAGCATTTTGGTTTGTTAGTTTTGCCCACTGTTTTAGTATCTTACTGCAGCTGTTTTCTAGAGTACATTGGGTTGATGTTATTGTTGTATTAGTGTGCCTTATAGTTGGTAGTTAACAAGGCAATAGAGCAAATGAGTTTTGTGGTGGCATGCTTTAAGAGTTTTAGCCTTGTGTAGGTTCACTTATATGTTTACATTACTATTTTTTATATGTTAGTACTTGATGTAATTTTTTCCAGTTATGTATTTGCTTTATGTAGTAGGTCCTGGTTTTAATGTATTTTGTTTTTATTGGTTCTTTTAAGGTTGTTTACCTGGATCATATTGATTTCCGACAAAGGCAACTTGTAGGCTCTATTCCTCAAATATCTGTGTTGAAGGGTGATTTGATTCAGTTTTATGCTAATCTTGACATCAAATCTCCTGATGTTTATGGTTACAGACCTTTGCTTGACTTTGAGAAAACATGCTATTATAAGGTTAGATCTATTTTTTTGCATTCTTTCTGTTGTGATTAATTCTAAGACTGTGGTTTCTGCTGATGACCTTGATTCTGTTTTTTGTGATAAAATGGAATATGTTTCTGGTTGTAAGCTCTCTTTAACTTTGAAGTTCAAGATATCTCAGTTGGTTGACAAGCATTCCTTTAACTGTGGTTCGTCCTTCAATTTGGATATCATTTCTCTTGGGAATGTGTCCAAAGACTTCCAAGATATGTTCACAAAGTTGACGCGGCATGTGTGTACTATTGATTTGAGATCGAAGGAGTTGATTGTGGATGTTATGGAAGCTATTGCTTAGACTGATCCATCTGTTGAAGATGATGATCCCTTATCTGTTGCTGCAAGTCCAGATGAAGATAAAAGTGATCCTGTTATTGTTCCTGGTATGAAAGGGGATTGATGTTGCTCATGATTTTTACTTTGTTTATATAATTTTTCTTTTTTTGGTTCTTTTACAATTTTGAATCTTAATTCTATGCAGATTATGTTCCTAAAGTCTCTCAGAGTATACGTGTTGGTAATAATCAACCTATTGATGTTGATTTGGAGGAGAAGTTGAAAAAGAGTAAGTGTTATGTTTTGTATTAATGGTACTTTGTATTTTTCAAGTTTTTTGTATTTGATGATTTCACTTTATATAGTATCCTTGATTCTTGTTTTTTTATAGTTTGACTGTTAAGCCTAGTGTTTTGTATCTTGTTTTTAGTGTTTCCTGTCATCAATTTTCAGGCTTGTAATCTTTGTATTATGATTATGCTTACCATTCAGTTTAGTTGTTATAATATGCTGTAGTAGGTAGACCACTTTGCTATATAAGTAGTGGTAAGGACCTTGTTGTTTGCTATTATATTTTTTCATTGTTTGTTATCAGCATTTTTTCTGCAATTGTTTGTTTTCTTATTTTAATGTTGATCTCTTCTTTAGGATGTTCCATTGTTTTAAGCCAGAGATTGAAACCTATGTCTACCCCTGAGATGGGTGCTAAAGTCAGGCTTGTTCATGCTTCTATTTGTAACCCTTTGGCTGACAAAACTAATGTTGCTTCTCATTCTGGTGGTTGCCATATTTCTTCTAATTTGGATAGGGATGTCATTCTTATTGATAAAGAGAATGTTGTTATCCCTGATTTGATTCTGTCTCCCCATTTCCTTTTCGACATCGATCTAGATTATTTCCATCTAAGGTATAGTGTGCTAAGATTTCTCTCTTTGTTTTCCTTTTTTTCTTTCTATTGTAAGCTTATTGTTTTTTGTTTTAATTTGTAGCTGTCTCAAGATTCTCAGAATGGCTCTGTCAGTAGTAGAGATTTTGTTTTTAATTTTTTATATTCTATTATTGTTGTTGTCTTGTTTATATTTCATTTTGTTTTTTAGGATCGTGTAATTATGCAAACTCTTTCCGTTTTCTGATGAAAAAACTCCCCGTATTACACCTAAACTTTCTAAGAAGCCTCCAATGCTGCCTCTGAGTCATAGTGCTGTGAAGAATTCTCAAAAATCTACTACCAAAGGAAATGTTAGTTTTCCTTCTTTCTTTTTGATTTTGTCATTTATATATATATATATTTATATTTATAATTGTTTGTCTTTCTTGTTTTTAGGATATTTCTCCTGTTGTTTGTACTAGTTCAAGGTCCTTTTCTGATAAAGTCAGAGTTGAAACTAAAAAATCTGATGTTATCTATAATTCCAAGTTGGAAAAAGCGAGGATGAGCTCAGAAACTCCTAATTTGTGTCTAAACAAAACTCATGGTTTTCCATTAGATTCTTCTATTGATCCAGAAGTGTGGCTGGTCGTTTTCATTTCAAATCATGGGATTCATCAACTGGTGGGAAAGTTCTTGTTCATGGTCCTAGAAGGATGGTTTGTCCAAGTCGATATTATGGTGATGATTTTGATAATCTTCAAGAGAAATTTAAAGTTTCAAAATCTGAAATTACAAATTACAAGGCTATCTGTGCTTTGTCGAAGTCTAGTCCCAGCAAGTAATTGCTTGTTTTTTTGTTATTGATAGTGCTCCTGTATATTTCTTAGTTTTTTATGTAACTAATCCTTTTTTACCTTTTTTGTTATTTGTAGGGAGGATGCTTTGTATTTTGGAGGTGTTCGTTGTACATAATGGTCCCTTGGAGAATCTATGAAGCCAGGTGGTAAAGTAAATAACTTTGTGGTGGCTGCATTTTGCTATCATCTATTTTGCCGTCCTGATGGTCATCCAGATGTTTTGAAGCGGCATTTCTTCTTTTCTAACATTTTAGTAAGTGTTTGATGTTATGTGTTAGTTAATTTCATATTTTTTAGTTCTAAATTTTTTGAGTTTGAAGGACAATCTTCTCAACGATCATGGTGAAGTTGATGGTGATGTGATGATGAGAGCTTTTCAACGTTCTGCAAAGGCCAGGCCACTTCATCGTTCCGACTTGGTAGGTTTTGAAGTAAAGTTTTCCAAGGTTGATGATCCCTTTTTTAATTTTTTTGCTTTCTTATTTTGGTATTTATTGTAATTTTTTTGCTTGTGCAGTTGTATTTCCCAACTTTCTATGAAGATCATTGGTTTGTCTTTGTTGTTGATATTAAGGATAGGAAATTTGTGTTCTTGGATTCATTTTATTCTAAACTTCATGCTTACCAGAATATGCTAGGGAAAATATGGTATGTTTTGTTTCACCAGCTTTATTATTCTTTTTTGTGTTTTTGATTAAATGTTTTGATGATCTTTTTATGTTTTCTGATCTAGATTCTAGAATTCCAATTTTGGTGAGACAGTTTGTCAAGTCTGATATCAAGTTCAGTGAATATAGTGTTATATATCCAAGTGTGCCGAAGTAGTCTCCAGATAATAAGTATGTGTGTGTGCTTTTTAGTAATTTTGATTTGTGTTAAGTTTTTTTTATTTCTCTTTATTCTTGTATATTTTTATTTTTTGTTTATGCTTACCTTTGTCACTTTTTTGTTTTATCATATTAATCTTTTTTCTTTTAATTAATGTAGTGTTGATTCAGGAGTTTGTGCTATGATGTTTCTTGTGAATATGGTGTTATATATCCAAGTGTGCCGAAGTAGTCTCCATATAATAAGTGTGTGTGTGCTTTTTAGTAATTTTGATTTGTGTTAAGTTTTTTTGATTTCTCTTTATTCTTGTATATTTTTCTTTTTTGTTATGCTTACCTTTGTCACTTTTTTTTTTATCATATTAATCTTTTTCCTTTTAATTAATGTAGTGTTGATTCAGGAGTTTGTGCTATGATGTTTCTTGAGCACTGGTCATCGCCAAGATCTTCTGTGTTTTCTTTGTTCAACAACAAAGATATTCCAAATATCAGGATCAAGTTATGCAATGAGATGTTGTTTAACCCTAGGAACACTGGTAACAAGAGTCCAGTCATTACCTATGATAACAATTAGGTATTGTCGATGTTTTGTTCTTCTTTTTTTGACTTGTTTTTTTAGTTGACTGTGTCTTTTTTCAGGAAGGTGGCTCTCACTAGATGTTTTTTCTTGCTTTCTTTTCTACTTTAGTCTTCATTGCTTGTAGTATTTTTGCTGGTCTGTAAAGGTACTAATGCTGTGTCAAAAACTTTTGGTCTCCCTGTCATGTAATAGGGTAGTACTTAAGGAAGTGCCTTACAATATGTTTGTGCTGTGTTGCACATCATACAAGCAAACTTTATATTACAGTTCTTAAGTCTAATATAGTATGACATATGTTGATGTTTCTCTGAAAAATGTCTTGCTGACTTCTTGTTCTCTTCCACCCTCTTCTTCTTCTTTGTTGTAGCTGTAGAGTTGTTCTCCTCTGCATCAGTGTTCTTTTTTTATGCTTTCTTCATTCTCTTTGTCTTTGGCTTACTTGGTGATGCTGTTAGGAGAAAATTTGTTCACAATGATGTTGTTTTTGTAATTATATCAATATACATGCTAAATGATATTAGTTAGTAACTAATATGTTTTTTGTGTGATATTTACCTGAATTTTCATTTGTTGTTGATTTCTTCTTCTTCTTGGTATCTTTGTGCTTCATTTTCTCCTTTACTTCTTCTATTGTAGTCTTCATTCTCTTTGGTTTTGGTGGCCTACCTTTCTTTGTTGTTGTATCTAGATCTTGAATAATATTTTCTGAACCATTGACCTCAGTATCTGTTGTTTCACCTGTTTGTACTTGTGTATGTGAGTTTGGTTCATTCTGACCATCCTCAATGGCTTGAGGTGCTAGTAACTTTTCCAGGTGCAAGTCAATCCTTTCCATTTCTGCTATAAGGTAATCTATTGCTTCTTCCTTTTTAGATGCTTTTGAATTCAGTATAGTGGACTCCTTGATAGTATATTGAATCTTAGCAGAGAACTTGTAGTAGTTGTTTTGTCTTCTAATCTTTGTTTGATCAATCTTATATCTTTTTTCCTCTACTTGTCCAGTATGTACTTATCTGGTATGCTGCTAATTTCCTTTTTTTATTATCACTTTTAGGATATGGGAGCAGAGTATGCCATCTTTGTTGAATTTGGCACAGATGCAACTGGATTCTTCTTTCCCTTCTGTGAGGTCAGTCAACACTATATATTTCCTTATCCTTTGTACCTTATAAACCTGGTTGCTTCTTTGCCATACTTCGATGGCCTTGTCTTGATTCAATTTCTTTGTAAGTGAGTGTTGAAGTATCTTTTAGTTGAACCTGTAATTTCTTGTATATGTTTCTATTGTATAACTCATGTGCTTGCTTCTCAAATGTGTATCCGAAGAGTAGTTCCTTTGGTCTTTTTTGGTTGTTGTAGTGGTCCTCTAGGTTCTCTGCTCTATCTATTGTTTCAATTATGCGTTCGTACTCCTGCAGAAAGCTGATAATACTATAGGTTGGATCCATATTTTCTTTGAATCTTGCATTTGTAGCCTTGCTTCTTGATGTGGTTTGGATGAAAGGAAAGAAATCATTTTTGTAGTAGACTAGTATGAATCTTTTCCTTGTCTCCCACATTTTTGTGAAGTAGTTGTTGTTCTCTAGTGCTCTTTCCTTGATCATATTCTGCCACAAGTTACTCCAATTCCTGTTCTGTGACACAGTTGTTCACTATGTCTTCAAATTCCTCATATAGGCCATCTTTAGCTACAAATACTTTGATGTTCTTTGAGTAGCATTTAGTCTTGATGTGGAAAAGACAATTTCTATGCCTTATATTTGGCATCACCTCTTCAATTGTTGTTTTCATAGCTTTGTCCTGGTCAGTTATTATAGTTTGAGGGTGCTTGCCTCCCATCGACTCTAGGAATGTTTCGAAAACCCATCTGAATATTGCTGTTGTATCATCATGTAGGAAGGCACATCCAAAGATGCATGTATGTCCATGGCCAGTGATTCCTACAAAAGGTGCAAAAGGTAATCTGTATCTATTTGTCATATATGTTGTGACAAAGTTGACACAGTCTCCGAAATCTGCATAGTATTTCAGGGAAGATCCATCTCTCCAAAAGATATTTTTCACTTTGTTGTCATCATCTAACTCAAATTTGTAGAAGAAGGTAGAATCTTCACTCTTCTTGATTCTAAAGCTGTCTAATACCTTGGTCATATCTATTCCTCTTATTTCTCTGTTTTACTTTGTTATGAAGTTGCTCACATCTTTTTTCTTCACTGGTAGTGCTGTAGGTTCTCCTCTGAGATATGATAGTATATAAATCATTTTCCTTGTAGGAATATTGCTTATCATTCAAGGTTCTGATTAGTGACTTCTCCATTTCTGTCATATATTTGTGTCCACTGAACTGTTGGTTTCTCTGCCCTGGTTGTAGTTCATGGTTGTCCTCCAAGTCTAGCCTTATAATCCTCCAAATGTCACCTACTTCTTTCACAACCATCACACATGGGCAGTTTGTTTTTGCTATCACATTTGTTTATCTCTTTGTATCTTTTTTTTGCTAATATCCTTGTCAACTGCTGCCTCTTGCTGATCTGTTGTTTTTGGCTCCTCTTCTTTTCCATGTTTGTGACACTTCATTGTGACTTTAGTTATCTCACCGTTCCTTTTCTTGTTTCTAGTCCTGAAGACATGGACTACGATAGCTTCGAACCTAGCAAGGTATGCATAGAAGTTGAAAAAGTGTTGAGCTATATTTTTTCTTTGAATTCCATACCTAACTGTGGGGTGTGCGTGCTATTGATATCTGCATTATTGCCTTCAGAAGCTGATATTTGTTCTCTACTGATGAATTCATCTATTTCCTATTCAGTGAGTTCTTGGCTTCCCTTTCCTTCTGCAGTGTTTATCTCTTCTGCTGGTACTATTTCATTATTTGTTGTTTCTAAATTTGTCCTTGTCATGTCTAATGTTGTCCTTGACACATCTTCTTCTACAACGCTTGTAGCTTCTTATATTACTAGAAGTTGCATGTT